TTCCTTCCACTCTCTCTCTCTCTTCTCTCTCTCTCTCTCTTCTTCCCTCCCTCCCTCCTTCCCTCCCATAAAATTTTATACCAGGTGTCGGTAATCTTTTGGAGATTACATTTTAGTGCAAGGAAACAAACAATTTTATATAATATCAGATAGTAGGATATGTTAGGAGAAAATTAAAGTAAGGTAACTTGATGAGTGACTGGGTAGCTACTTTAGATTGGGTGGTTAGAGAAAGCCTGTATAAAGAGATGAAATTTAAACAGATCTAAATAACAAGGAATTAATCAGACGGAAACTGAATGAAGTACATTGGAGGGCAGAAGGAACTGTTAGGGTAAAGGCCCCAGTGCAGGAAAGAGCTTGGCATCTGACGAACAGAAAGAAAGCTGGTGGCAGGAGCACATAATATGAGTGGGAAAGGGAGAGGGGGGAGGGGGAGGGAGAGATGGAGGTGGGGAGGTAGAGGGTCTACCCCTCCACCGTAGGGAAGGAACATTAAAGAAAATAGTACTGTCCAGCCAGGCGTGGCTCAGAGGTTGAGCATCGACCTAGGATCCAGGAGGTAATGGTTCAACTCCCGGTCCAGGCACAGGTCTGGGTTGTGGGCTCGATCCCCAGTCTAGGGCGTGCAGGAGGCAGCCAACCAATGACAACTCATCATTGATGTTTCTATCTGCCCCCCACTTCTTCTCTCTGAAATCAATAAAGATATATTTTTAAAAAAAAGAAAATAGTACTAAATGTGATAATAAAGTTCTGAGAAAAGAATATCAGTGCAGGCTGAACTGGACAGGCTTCACTGAAGTAGGACTCAAATTAGACTCTGATGGAGAAGAGTTTTATATATAAAAATAAAACAGGTATTCTTTCTAGGTTAGAAGGGTGAGTGTGGCACTGGGTAATAGGTAGGGAGCAACAGCATGAATAGGCCCAGGAAGACTTTTTTTGCATGGTAATTCTCAAAGTGGTGATGATTTATTTATTTGTGTAATTATTTGATTAAGTTCCCCAAGAATAGTAATGGCCTCACAAATAGCCAGTGTGGCTGGTTGGCAGCTACTATTTCCCCCCAAACCAGAGGAGCAGCTGAAAGCCAATGCCAACAGGATAAGGTGAGGTACTGGTCCACTTCTCCCCAAACTCTCTAGGCCTGGGTATCAGATGCCTCACTGAAACAATATGCTCTAGAGAGCTAACCATTAACTCTCTAATTACCAAACATCACTGAGAACTTCTTACTCACTTATAAGACCTGGACCACACACTGGTCACTAGGACTCACTACGTTCCCATAAACTGCAAAGCTTCCATCTCTCAGTATCCCTTTCTTAATAGTGGAATAATGTCAAAATCTGGAAAACTACAGCAAAGCTACATGTGTAACTAGAATGGAGAGACAAGGGGCACTCTCCATTACCTCTGGGACTGCTCAAGAATGTCAGATTGGATTCAAGCAGTACAGAAGTTATCTCTGAAAGTCACACACTATGATTCAGAGTCTAAAATGTGGAATTAAGTAGAAACCTTTAAGATAAAAACCCAAATTTCAGCCAAAAGATGAGTCATGACATTTATGCATATTACATGACTTTTCATTAGCAAAATTAAAAATAGCTGCTGTAGACCATTTTATATTATGAAATCTGAAGTGCTGCTTTTTTGCTTTGGGGTTAAAATTAAGTGTTCTTTAAATAGCAAGCAAAAAAGTTACTAAAACAGACAGCCATCAATGACGAATATGAGCTCTAGCAGGAAACTGATATCACATCCTTTTAACTTCATCTACTGAGCACCTATTGCATTTTATAGAGGATATAAAGATGGAAGGCAGAAAGAACTGGACAAAAACAGGCTCCTAGGACTTGGGACTTTTTTTTGTTTTAATATATCTTTATTGATTTCAGAGAGAGGAAGGGAGAGGGAGAGAGATAAAAACATCAATGATGAGTCATTGATCAGCTGCCTCCTGCACACCCCCTACTGGCGATCAAGCCCGCAACCCGGGCATGTGCCCTGACTGGGAATGGAACCATAATCTCCTAGATCATAAGTTGATGCTCAACTGCTGAGCCATGCTGGCGAGGCAGGCTTGGCCATTTTAATGTTAGCACTGCTACACAGCTGTGTGATCTTGGGCAAACTACTTAACTTCTCTGAATCTCAGTTTTCTTATCAGTAAAATGGAGATACCACCTCGCAAAAAAGATTTCATATGTAGTGCTTCTAATAGTGGCCTACACAAAGAAGGCATTTAATGAATGATAGTTATCATCTTAATTGCCATCTTTATCATCATCACCAAAATTATGCTTAAAGCACGGAGTACAGTGTAGAACCTTCTAGTGTAATTTTTGCTTCCTGTGGTTTCAGTTACCTGGGGTCAACTGTGGTGCAAAAATTTTAAATGAAATCTCCTGCTATCCCAATCCATCCTGCCAGGACATGAATCATCCTTTTGTCCAGTGTATCCAGGATGTATATGCTACCCAACCATTAGTCACTTAGTAGCTGTCTCGGTTATCACATGACTGTCACGGTATCACTGTGCTTGTGTTCAAGTAACACTTATTTTATTTAATAATGGCCCCAAAACTCAAGAGTAGTAATGCTGGCAATTTGGATGCCAAAGAGAAGCTATAAGGGTTTCCTTTAAGTGAAAAATGGAAAGTTCTCCACTTAATAAGAAAAAAAAAATATAGCATGCTGAGGTTGCTAAGATCTATGGTAAGAATGAATCTTCTATTTGTGAAATTGTGAAGGAAAAAAAAATTTGTCCTAGATTTGCACCTCCAACTACAATAGTTACAGCCACAGTGCATGTTAAGCGCTTAGGTAAGATGGAAATGGCATTAAATTTGTGGATGGGAGACATGAACAGAAAACATGTTCTGGTTGACAGCAATGTGGTGTGCCAGAAAGCACTGGGCCCATATGAAGACTTCAGCAAGGTGTCCCCTGAAACAGGTGACACAAAGCCATTTCTTGAGAGTAAGAAATGGTTACCCAGATTTAGGAGTGGGTTTCTGAAAATATAAAAATTACTGGAGAGACACCACAATTACATAACTTTTGTTATAGTATACTGTTATAATTGTTCAATTTTATTGCTATTGTTGTTAATCTCTTACTGTGCGTAATTTATAAATGAAATTTTATCATAGGTATGTATGCATAGAAAAGACATAGCATATAAAAGGTTTGGCACTATCTGTGGTTTTAGTCATCCACTGGAGGGCTTGGGATATATTTGCCTTGGATAATGGGGGACTACTGTTACTATCACATCACAAGGTGTCTGGACAAAGTGCCAAAAAAAAAGATAAAGAGCATACTATAGAAGATGACTCACTCAAGGTCCTTGCTGACTCTTGCTGACATATCCTTACTTCTGGCCTCTTTCCACCAAATTTATGCTATAATGAAATACAAAAATCCCCTGAACACACTGTTTCTCATTTGTCTGTGCTTTTGCACACATATAGTCAATTCTCATTATTCACAGTAGTTACGTTCTAGAACAGAGATTTTCAACCGGTGTGATGCAAGAAGTTTTAAAACATGCAATACCTGACTATTTAGTCAGAGGCACTGACCTCTTTTCCCTTAGACTGTCAAATAAAAATGACAACAGTCAACACAACACTAGCTGTCCAGTGTGAATGAATCAAAATTATACATATTGTTTTTGGTCAGATAGGCAAAAAATGTATTTTTGGTGTGCTGCAGAATCTCAGTAATTAGTTTATGTGTGCCATGAGATGAAAAAGGTTGAAAATTGCCACCCTAGAAATTCACAGCAAACACTGAATCAGTGATTACTGAACCACTGCTCCTAGGGGAAGTACAGAGTTAGGTTCCTGAGAGCCCTCTGGTCATAATATTTTTGTTAAGTGACCAATATAATACATAACTTTGTTTTATGTGAGTTTCTTTTAAAGGTGTCTTATTTGATGTATATTGTTGAACTCGTACCTGAATGAAGCATATCTAACACACGTATTTTCCCTGTAAGGCACAACACAGCTTTCTTGCCTTTAGCCATACTAGATAAACTTCAGCACTAATGACAGGTGTACATTTTAAGCAGTGGAATCACCCTCCCCCAAAAAGCACAAAAGTGCAAAAACCATGGCACTAAATATATCACGAAAAGGAAACCTGTTTACACTATGAGCTGAAACACGGCAGCCTTGTTTGACCTCAGCTGGAAACATTCCTGTTGGGTCACTAAAATTTTTCGCAACTGTCCACCTGTCAGTGAATACCTGACTGCAAAGCACCGCAAGTACAGATTTGGGGGTTACAAATTTTAGCTAGTAGGTGAATTTGCAAATATGGAATCTGAAAATGATAAGGGTCAAGTTTATTGATGAAGACACCCTCTCTCTTTCTACAGAATTTATCTGGCCAACTCCTATTTGCCCTTCAGGACTCAGTTCAAGATATCTTAGAAGCCTTGCTTGACCCTAGCCAGTCTGGGTTAGATACATACCTAAAAAATGCCCCCATAGTGCTCATATGGACTGGCTTCTTATTGCTATTCATGCTGTTTTACAACTATTTACTTTTCTATCTCCTCTATTTGACTGTAAGAGCCTTGAGGGTGGGAATTCAAGGTCTAACTCCATAAAAGCAGCTTATTAAACATTTGTTGAATTAATGATCTTCAAAGAAGGGGGAGAAGACTACCTATAATGGTTGAGAATGGGCATGAGTATGAAATCAGAGGTTTCATAAATAACACAGAAAAGAGATTTTAACACTAGTTTAATGATTTTTCAATGAAAAAATTGATTTTAACACATTTCAAACTAATGGCTTTTTTCTTCAGGCTACATTAACTTCAACTCATATTGTGATAAGGACAGTCCTTGTTAAGTGATATAATACATTTTCTTGTTGTTTAAGCCACTTTGGATTGCTTTAAAAAAATTTTGCCACTAAAAGCATCTTAATTGACAGAGTTACCCTTAGATATAGAAACATGGTTAAATATTAATTTTATTTGCATACTTATTTTGGTTTTGGACAAATGCCTTTCCATCAGAGATGTGTAACAATTTTAGAAAATCACTCAGAGACTAATGAGGTTCCTCAGGACTAACATAAATCTCTGCGTTACCACCACCCGCCCTTCTGCACCCCTGCCAGCAGAGAATGCTCTGCCTCAGGTTAGTTTCATCAGTCAGTCCCATCAACTCTGAAGATCTACTAAAGCTAAAATGGAAAGAAAGGGTTTCAGTTCAGTCTCTCCTGGTTTTACATATGAAGCCCTAGGATTGAAGTAAACTGTCCTGCTTGTCTTCCTTCCCAGGTACTTTCTGCATTAAAAACAACAACCGGGACAAGAATAAAATGATTTAGTTTCTAGATTCCAAATTAAAGAGAACTAAGAAACCAAAACATGTAGCAAAGATCTGAAAACCCACATGTCCTCTCACACTAAGTGCAAATTTCCCTTTGACTCTTCTCTCGTGCTGCTTTACAAGGAGATGGGAAATAGCTAACATTGCCTGCTCTTCATCCTGAAAGATCTCATCCTCGCTCAGAACTATAAATTCCATCACTATCTAAATGGAATCTCGGGTTTGCCCCAGGGAGAGACGCTGATTATTTCTCAGTGCTTCACTGTGGGTGACTTTCACTTGATGTAAACTCTGGCCAAACTGCTCCTTTGCTCTGTGAATACAAAGCCACAGTTTATCCTTTTCGTTTTGCAAAAACAGGAATGAATACTTGCTTTTTCCTAAATACTGAGAGTTCAAATATAAAAGATAACGGGTAAAAACTGCAACTGATCAATTATTTCACGAATGATTTTAAAAAATGAAACAGAATAGGAAACAAAATATCATAGGGCATCATAAGGGTAAGCTAATGTTTTCAGAAACTTTTATTTCAGTTACATATATGTGTGTGTCTATTGGATAATGACGTAAGTTCCGGGCAAAAGTTTTAAAGCTGCAGCCCAGGCCTTTGATCTCTGGTCTTAACTGATGAATTGCCCCACTCCTGCACTATTGCTGAAAGCTGGGGGGTAGCTTCAGAAATATGTGTAAGCCTTTTATCCTAGCACAGTGTTCTTTGCCACTGGCTGATTCTGAACTTCATGACTCCATTCTGAAGAAGAGAATATCCTCTTAGCGCCAACAAGGATGTCACATCTATTTTAAGGCACTTTGCAGGCATACCACTCATTTGATACTTGAGTTTTCTTTTCAATGCACATTATTCCTAATAAAACTGAAAAAAACTGAGGATAGGGACTGTAGTTACCCAGCGGCAACTATATAAATACAAGATGTTTGATCAAAATCCTTTTAGGGATTGGAAAAGTTTTTCCTCTAGGCTTGGTTGCCTGGCCAAGGTATTTAACCAACTCTACCACTTCCTCCTATGTTATGCTAGAATAACTATCATTAGCTGTGGTTTCCTAATTGGTTTTAGTATACTGTATAGCACTATACCTCAAGATTGTGTCTATAAGTTTGTAAACTCTAGTAAACATAGTAAGCTCTCATTATCTAATAAAAACAGGCTATCCTTTTTCTTGGGGGTTAGATGGCACTCTTTAAAAAAAAAAAAAGAAGATACCTACACTGCTCCTTAGGAGAACTGACTCAAGAATTTCCAACTCCCTCTAAACTGCCCTACTTTGTAAAGCTATCGTTTGCAGAAAGGGTTAACAGTTTAATTATTTGGTAAATGCATAACTATTACCTATTTTACCTGAACTTAATGTGTTGGGATCACAGTTTGCAAAAACCATTTCAAAAAGTAAAGCAATTTGGAGTTTGCTATACCCACAAATTCAGACCAAACAAAACTAAATATTATAGCCGACAGAAATAAAACCACACTTTCGCTACCTGCTTATTCATTTCTGTGATGTTCATCCAGACCATGTTCAAGCCCAGCTCTCCAGATTCAATCTTCTCAAGTTCTCTTTGTTTGCTGAGTAGTTCTTCATTAAGTTTGGGGATTTCTTGGAATGAACTTTTCTGATTAGATTCCACTAAAAGCAAAAATAAGAATAATCATAAATAGCCAGAAAGTTCCCTCATGGCTCCAAGAAAAAATGATCTCATAAGGTAGGAAAGAACATAGATTAATATGTTAACTCTGGGAGGATAAGGACTAAATTTAGATCTGTCAACTACATATTCTTTTATTTATGTGAACCTTTAACACTGAAGCTCCTTTTAACTGGGGCTATTCACTACTGGCAATACAACTTTCAAAAGTCAGATGGCTAAAAATGGTAATGATGAATATCAGCAGTAAGAGTTGGACTTGAATCTCAACTCTGTAACTTACTAACTGTGATCTGAAGAAAATTACATGCTCAAGTTTTTTGAGCTCAGTTTCCTCATCTGTAACACACAGATAAAATATACTTTACAGGAGTTTTAGAATCAAGTGAGAGAATGGCTGTAAAGTACTAAACACAGCTGGCCTGACATACAGGGATAAATAAATGTTAAGTACTGACAACCTTTACTCCATTGATGCTCCAGCTGACATAAGTTATATCTCTAAGTGTGTAAGTCTACTTTCCTCTATCTCAAATTGGTCAAAAGCAAGGTGGGTTCTTACCCCCTTTCAAGTACTGTTATGAGGACTAAGATTTTAAATCTTTTTCGTAAACAGCAGAGTGTTTTCTTAAATCCACCCAAAAGCTCAAAGTAAAAGTAAAGGAAGATAAAGGAACATGTTAGGTGGAGTACAGGGTGCTATTTGGCCTTTCCTTTGGGAAACAATATCTCTTGAATGGTTTAGAGCTTTGCCAGCCTAAAGGCAGAGGCCTGTAGGAGTGCTTTCTCTTCCTACTATAAAAAGGGTATTTTTCCTTTTCATGGAAAATACTGGTAATGGCTGGTCCTCCAGAACGAAAACCTACATCATTTTTTTAAAGCACAGAGTGCCAGATTAGTTATTATATGCTTTCTTTAAAACCAAAAACTGGCACACAGGACAGGTATAAGACAATTTACTAAAATGAAAGTGCCAAGATGTTTTTTGTTCATTTCTGCAGTTAGCTCTTTGAATATACCTGGCACATTTTAGGCACTAAGTATTACTGACTGAATAAAACTGGCCTTTGCTTACCTCTCAACCACGCTTCTCATCACTTTACCTACCTCTTCAATCTACTTCCTAGCCAAGCAGATTTCCTGACACACCAACCTCTTTTAGGCCTCAGTGACCCTATACACTGTCCTTTCTGCCTAGATGCCCTTAGTTTGCCCCTTCTTCATTTCTGCCACTCTAGCCTAGTTAATTCCTTTCAAGATTCAACCCAAATTGCTGCACCTCCACCTTGGACCACTGCCACCTCTTTACAACTCCTAACTCTACCAAGCACTTCACACACTGTGCTGTAGCTACATGTTCGTCTGTCTCCTCTGCCAGACTGACAGACAGCTGCAAGAGGACGGGACCAAATCTTATTTGTTATGTACTCCCAGGTGCCACAACAGTGCCAGGTACGCAGAACTCAAATGCTTGTCCAGTGAAATAACTGCGGGCATGAAATGGGGATGATGTTAGCCTGTAAGTCCAACAGAGGAAACCCAATGAACACATTCAACGACTAAAAGTCATAAAGAACACCATTACAGAGGGACAAACTGGGGGTAGTGGGGGGGGGGCAGGTGGTATGGTGGTATCCCAACTACAACAAAGCCCACCATCTGAAAATTCAGATTAAAATAAATTAGGTATTTTTTATTCATCTTTCAAAAATATACAACAAAGAATTTCTTTATTAACAGACTTCCCTAATACTTTTAATGTAATATTTGATTTACACATGGCTTATAGGACTACGTCCATCTCACACAATAACATTTTACCAGTCTAAATTAATGTAGCACTTAGCATTTCAGTAAATTTTACATTTTTGGTGAGGTTGCAAAGTAACTCATCCCATGCATGTCTGCTAGTCTCAAGTGGTCAAACATCCTAAGAGTGTGTGAGAATGTGTGTATGTGTGTGTGTGTGAGAGAGAGAGAGAGAGAGAGAGGGAGAGAGGGAGAGGGAGGAGTGGGGAGTCTCTCTCTTTCCTTTAGTCTATACGAATTAAGTATAAGGTAGAAGTGGAAGAGAAAGACAAACACATAAATAACTTGAGTTACAATTATTAATAAACACATAAAGTTGACAAGCACTCAACACACTCTGGATCCTGAGGATTTTATGAGCCAATAAGGGATCATATTCATTATCTGATTTGGATCATATTCATTATCTGATTTGGGGCCTTAACAAGCCAAGTTAAGGCACTCTGACTACATAAATGGGAGGAAGTGGAGCAAACAACCTATGGTTACTTACTCATGCTTTTTCAACATGGAAAGCAACTCATTTAAAATTCAGTATATTAATACTCAAACTTACTTAGCTCTTAATCGCCAAGATCAGAAAATGGAGATTTCTGCATACACCCTTCAGACAGAACATATAAAGCCAACAGCAAGATTTTATAGTTTGCAATAAACTTTTATGTAACTACTAAACTGGTTACTGAGTCCCTACCATGTGTCCAGCTTTGCACTCAGGGCTAGTGCATAAAAAGACCCCGAAGCTCTGTTTAGCAGGGAGCGTGGCATTGTCACAGTTACTATATGGTGTGACAGATGCTATGACAGAGGAATGCCCAAAGTGCTTTGGTAGCACAAATACATCTTTGTTTTATGGATGGGAAAGTGAAGGCTCAGAAAGAATAAGTGACTTGTCCAAGTTTTACAGCTAGTAATGAGCAAGCCAGGATTCGACAGCCAAAACTTTTGCTCCTAAAACAAGCACTCTTTCCAGTATACTCCAGCTATCACAAACACATCCGAATACCCTCATTATCACTTGACCACACTGCTACTCTGCCTGTACAACCAAAAAGGAGATGCTTAACTCATTAACACCTTCCTTCTTTTCCAAATTCTTTTCTATCACTCTAGTGTTTCATAGTTGAGTGACAAAGAGGGAGGATTGGAAGTAGAGTCTTCCGTAGAATAACTGTGGAGGTCTTTGGAGTACCTGGTTCTGGAAAAAATACTGAGCTAAGAGTTTCAAGGCCAGTCAGTACTTTTAGCTTAAGGATCAAGTTACTCCTTGAATACAAGGAAAAAATACCAAGCCTCTCTGCTTTGCTTTCTATTTCAGCAACCCTACCTCCTTTCCTCACAAGTGTCTTGGAAAATTTATTGAAATAAAGAACAACGGGTTCTGAATTTTTTAAAAAAGTATTAAAGCAGATGGTCTTATTTGAGTCAGTGACTTCCACTGTCCTTCTGAAAAACAAGAAGTAAAAATTAACTTGTTGAAATATATTTAAAGCAGAGGCATAATTCAAAGAAAGATTATTAAAGCTTTACAAGATTGACCTCATTTAGTCAAGGTAATGGTTTTCACACAAAAAAAATCTTGGGAAAGTGGTCCATAATGGGTCAGCCCATGGACTGACAACATGCTCCAGGCACCAGCCCCTATTCTTCAGAAGTCCTGCTTTAGACATTAGAGGTGCTGGCACTTCTATTGTAGCAAACCAAAGCCAACAAAGCAGCTGGGCTGACGATTCTAAATCTGCTTCATTCAGGGGCTGACAAACATAGTCAGGGTCTCAAGGGAATGGTGCTCAATGATATAAAGCAAGTCTCATAGCTCAGAGTACAATTCCTGGAATCTCCTGAATATAGTGTTTCCAGGAATTGGAATTAACAAGTGCTCAATAAATATGTGTTGACTTGCTGATTGCCAAGTCTATTTCATAAATATACTTTTAAATACCCATTTCTAGACAAAGAAATTTGATGAAAAGCTAAGGTATAAATTACATGGGTGTCCTGTCAACACAGGCACAGAGGAGTCAGAGAAAGGAATCCGAGAGGCAGAATTGAGCAATGTTTTGAAATGCACAAATAAACAATTGCTACATGTCATCAAAACAAGCTATACCACAAACTTAGGAAGTCCAACTAATTAAGGCGATATGACAGCACAGACAGGTGTCTTCTGTGGTTATTTGTAGTTAAACACTGTTTCTGAGAATCTCATTTCCGAGTTATGATTACCACTTACAAAAAAACCACTGGTCTTAGAAACACCTTGCAGTATTGCTAAGGACAACCACTATGGAGGGACAATACTCGTACACAAATCTCATTCTTTCTTACACTATACTGATTCTACCAGTTGATAAAACATAGAAGTCAGGATGATTCTGGCAGAGAATGACCTACCCAAGCCCAATCCCTGAATCACAAACTCAGAAGAAAACCAAAGTTAGTACTTCAGCATTTCCCACCCCCCACAAGCAACATCACTAGGAATGCTATCAACAAGTAAGGATTAACTGTCCCTAGATCAGGTTCAGAACTTGAAAACTGCGGGCAGCAAAGAGAAGCTGGAGTGAAGGAAAACTAGGATGTTGTGATTTCCTAAGGCTTAAGATGGGAAGTAAGAAAACAACTCTAATTCCAGTTCTGGGGCCAGATTTCTTTATGACCTTGAGAAAGCCTGGTGGTCAGTTTCCTGGAGTGTTAATACTGCTAAGGTTAGGGAATTTGTGATTAACTTGGAACTGGTTCCTTAGCTTAGAAAATTAACCCCTGAAACCAAGAACTGAAGATCTCAGTGTTGGTAAAGGAAGACATTTAAGTTAAACCTGGTAGAAGCTATCACACAAACACATCTTTTAGAAGAAGTACTTTGGATATGCAAAATACAACTTTATAATTTATAATATATAAAATTCCTTAACTTAAGAAAGTCTCTTAAACTCTAAAACTCACTCATGAGACAAATATGTGACCTGGCATACAGTAAGCACTTCATAAATGCTGGTTACAATTATTGCCCATTCCTATAGTTTTTAAGGAGGAAATGTTTTGACACATTCCCATATTCTTTCTCAAAGGCCCTGTGAGGAAGGCAATAGCCCAGTGTACTGGGAAAGTATAAAGTGGCAACAGGTGGAGGTCAACCAAGGTCCTAGACTCCTGGATCTTAGTGCGCTCCTTCTGTGCCCTAAGTGTTGACTACAATGCCATTTTTCAGATGATATTTGTCCTGACGGTGCGTAAGCACTGTTTTTTGTTTGTGTGATTAAGACAAATGACTGTTGCTGGATTCAATCTGACAGCTAAGAAAGAGTAAAAAGATGCTGAAAAAATATATAATATATAATTGCTTCACTAGTAGACAAAACTCTTAATTCAGCATGGTCCACTTTGTCCTAGATCCTGGAAAAGAATCCAAGATTATACTCTGAAACATGAGACGACTTACTTGTTCTAAATTTTTCCTTGAGGGCATCCAGATCCTCCTTCAGAGCAACTTGCATCCACACCAAGCCAACGCAGGCCACGACACAGGCGGCAAGGATGACAAACGCACAGAGGGGATAACAGATCTTGCAGCATCGTGAATAGTCTCCCCTGATCACAAGAACAAATTCAACCAGGAGTACAAAAGTGATTAGAGAAGAGCTTTATTAGAAATACCATACATGTGTTCCTATGCAATGATCTTTTTAAATAAATAACCAGTTCATTTACCGGGGAATACAGAGTAACACAGTTAAATCTGAACAGCAAGTTGAAAATAACTAAGTAATATGACCTATGAAGAGAGTTCATCTATTCACTACAGAAGTTTCAAACTTCACATGAAACAGAGGGACTTCCTGTGGGCTACGGGAAGCACCTGTGGGAACTGCAGCTCACTGCCATCACCATCAATTCATGTCTTTGGAAACAATCTCAGGTTAGAAAAGTGTCAAGACCAGAGCTTCTCTGCAATTCCATTACTGCACTGTAACTGACCTGTCTCTGTCAAATACATGCTTATTCCAGGAGACCCTGTTTCAGTTTATTGAAACTTTATACAGACGTTTGAGCAAGTTTTATTAAAAATGGAATGAAAAAAATAGGAACTGTAGGGTTAAGTGGACACCTGGTACACTAGCTTATTGGCTCAGAAGAAAGGAAGCATAGAAAGGGGTTAGATTTCACATCAAACTTCAACCAACACTTAAGGTCTAAACTAACCCAACAGGGTAACTATTCCAGTAGAGCTATTCCATTTCATCAGATCTTCACAACCCAAACCTAGGACTGTCCTTAACTACCTAATCTGGCAAAGCTCATTAGAAACCAAATTCTTTCTTTAACAAAATAGAAGGACAAAGACACACTAAACAAACAAGCCTCAAACAAAGAAATCAATCTCTTTTAGCACCTCAACCTTCTGCCTCGCCCTTACTTCCACATCCATAGCAAAGTACTCTTTTCTTCCAATGTACTCCTTGAGAGGGTCCAAGGCACCTTCGAGGTTCTCTTCAGTCCTTTCACAACCCCAATTCCCAGTGTCCTCAATGTTCACTACTAGATTTGTCCAGTGCCTGCACCATCTAAAAGTGGTTTGAAAAAGCTGCCTCTTCTTTTTTCCTCCACGCTCCGTCACTCTCAAGGCTCATACTTTCTACAGTATGTCCCTCACCATATTCTCCCATCACCAAGATTGAGACTCATCAAGAGTGCAAAAAATAAATAAATTTGCAGTCCTAAGGTCCCTGTCTTTCCTACACTTAAAAAAAGAGTCTAGTTCCAAAAGCTTCTCTGCTCCTATGTTCCTATGTTCTGAGCTTCTTTGCTACTACCAACTTGGTCTCTCTGGGATCCTGGCACATTCCCCTAGATTCAGAGCTCTTTTTTGTACACTCAGAGACAGATCTCTAATTTATCCTGTATTCAGAACCTGAGCTCACTCCTCCCTAACAACTTTCCTCCCTCTGCCTTCCAAGGACTACACCTTTTTTTGTCCCTAAGAACTCCCTTCTCCTTCTCTTCAATTTGCCCCCTTGGTAGTACAAAGAGATGTCCTTTTCCCCATCCCATCCCTCACCATTGCATCACTCACTTGACAAAGCAAGAGCGATTTCCAACTAAACCGAATTCCTCTTCCTCCTCGGAACTGGACTCAGAGTCTGTGTCCGGAGGCTCAGTGCGAAGCAGTCGGTGGCCTGTGCCTTTCTTGCGCTTCTTTCTCCGGCTGTCCCCAGATAAGCCAATCAATGCATTGAGCTCTTTGCGCTTTTTCATCTTCTTGTGTGGGGTGAGTGGAGCACCCACTCCTGAGCTGCCAGGGTTGTACTCAAAGCGCAAATTTCTTGTTACCTTGGAGCTACCTTCCAGGGTGGGGGATCCTGGGCCAGAGCCCCCTGGTCACTCCCACCCAGGGGTGGGACTGACCAGATCCGCTGGGAGCTGGAGACTGGAGCCCAGTGGAAACTGGAACTCAGATGGGTTGGAAAAGTCACACGGATATGGCCAGGGGGCTGGTGATCCAAAAGAATAAGGTCCTGGGTATTGTCAGTTAAGAGGGTGATAAGGGGACTTCTGTCTCTCAAAGGAGATAAAAAGCCAAGTCAAGAACAAGCGATTCTAGGCCCTGATAAGTAGACAATGTTTTTAAGGGCTGCTCCAGAAGCTGGGGAAAGGACACTCAGATGGATGTTTTGGACGTCCGGGACAGGATTTCTAATGGAGAGGGAAAAGAAACTCGTCCTTGAACGGGAGGGGGAGGGCACAGTACGAGACAGTGGGAACGCGCTAGTCCCTTCCCTAGCTGGAGAGGTGGCAGCAGAAGGGGGCTCCCAGTTGCTACAGCCTGGGCGACAAGGAAATGCTGGGTCCGGGCAGTTCACTGGCCTCCGGCCTCCGTCCTGAGTTTGAAGGAAAACCAAAACCGAGGAAGACCCAGAGCCCGGCTCGGAGGGCTCTGCCTGAGAGAAGCCAGTCCAGCGCCTGGGGAGATCCCAGCCCCGTCGTCTGGGCCTGGGGGGCGCGGTGCGGAGGGGCGACGGCGGCTCAGCCCACCTGAAGAGCTCCCGCCCACAGTTCGAGGTGTTCCGGCACCGGCGACTCCCGGCAACTCACACGCGCCTTCGCCACTCGGGCCGCGACTGTGGCCCCTGCTCCGGCTGCGGCCGCGGCTGCTCCCGACGCGTAGGAGGCGGCGGAGGCGGCCGCGGGTCCCAGCCCCGGGCCATTGCTACAGCTCCAGCTCAGTTCCTCTTTGGCAGCAACTGCCGGCACCGCCTGCCAGTAATCCGCGTTCCCATTGGCCGTCCGCCTGGTGACGTCACACCCAGGGCGCTAGTGGCGGCGGGGAGGCGGAGAGTTAAAGGGCCCTGGGCCCTGGCTGAGGTTGGGTCGGGCCGGCCTGTTGGGGAGGCCACGCCCCCAGAGGGCGTGCTGCTCACCTGAGCTGCGGACCAGTTCTGTTTCCTGCAGAGCCGGCTCGGAGGCAGCCGAGCACCCAGCTGCTCAACTTGCCGGGAAAGTTCGTCAGACTCCCGGCCCCTAGCTGTGACCTGACCTTGCTCAGCCTCGAGGCTCCGCCCCTCTGACTCGCAGGCTGTTTATTAAAAGTCGAGCGTGTTGCAGATTCGTGACCCGGTTGAATACAGTTATTCATTCCATAAATATGACTACGTGTCAGGAGATACAGCAACGAGCCAAATAACTGCTGTCCCTGCCTTCCTGTGTAGGGACACCAGCAAATAAAAATAAATACAGGACACCCAATAAAGTCTGAATTTCAGGTAAACGACGAGTAGTTTTTTAGTGTAAGTATGTAAATTTGCCGAACTCCTGGGACGTCTTCATACTGAAAAATTAGTTTTTTACCTGAAATTCAAATTTAACTGGGTATCCTGTATTTTATCTGCCAATCCCATTCCTGCAGCTTATATTCTAGTGGGAGGCGAGCAGCAACAGACACGCCTATTAAATTTCAGGAGATGATAAGTGTTAGGAAAAAATTGAAACATAGGGGGATGGATGGGGGGGTGCCTCTGCGATAAGGGGGCATTTGGTTAGAGACTGGGGGGAAGCTAGGGAGTGCGTTGTACACTGGCCACTAGGAAGGAGTGACCCCAAAGACTGGTGGGGCTGCACCTGAAGAGCAAAGAGGAGGGAGGTGGGAAATGAGATTGTGAGGGGCCTTATGGATGGTGGTGAGGACTTTGGGAAACCACTGGTGCTTTAAGCTGAGAAGAGGCATATTTTGGCTTAGATTTTAAAAAGATCACTCTGGCTACTGTGTGGAAAAGAGTTTTGGGAGAAAGGTAGGGACACAAGAAACCAGTCCAGATAGAGATGATAATAGACTAGGGTGGCAGTAATGGGGATGGTGAGCATTCTGGCTGCTTCTTGAAGGCAGAGTGAATGATATTTACTGATGGATTAGATGAAAGGTGTGAAAGAAAGAGGAGTAATAGTGGACTCCAGAGTTTTGGGGTGGAACAACTGGAAGAAAGGAATTGCCGTTTACTGCGATGGTGAAGAGCAGGTGTGGGGCAAGCTTGAGAAACAAATTCAGTATTCAAGTGGCTTGTTTGGTATATGCATTTGGAGTTTTGGGCAGAGGCTGGGGCCTGAAATATAAATCTGAGACCCATCAGATATAGATGGCTTTTAAAGCAAAGTGCTTTGAGTGACTTGGAAGAAAGTCACTTAAAGTAATTTTTTTGTGTGTGTGGCAATTACACTATTATCCTTATTATGGCAATTGCACTGTGTTTGTTCAGGGAGACATACCCAAAGCCAGGGCCTGTCTCTTATTTGTCTTCCTGTGTTTAGCCCGGGGCAGGTATCTAGTAACAATGATCTGATAAATGTAATGCTTATATAAGTGGGCAGAGTTGTACAGAATTATGAGTGGAGTCGGAATCAAGAGATCTGAGATTAATATGCTTCTAATACTTGCTATCTCTGTCAGCATGGAAGCCATTTAAATTTTCTGAGCTTCAGTTTTTCCCTCTGAAAAATAGGGATAATATCTATTTCACAGGACGGAAAAATGAGAAGATGCCTGTGAAAGTGCATTTGAAGCCCTGAATCATGGTGCAGTTATTGCTTTTACTGTCTTCTTTTGTTTCTAGAACTGTGCAGCCCAATACAGTAGCCACTAGCTAAGTACGACAATTTAAATTTACATTTAGCTTAATCAACATTAAATAAAAAGTTTCAATTAATTCCTCTGTCTTACTGGCCACTGTGCTACAACAGGGGAACCAGGGGCTGAGGAACCCACAGGAGTGAGGCAGGGCCACAGACGCATCACCCAACTGCAATAACTTCTGGTCAGCCAACCTTGCCCTGTCTGCAGGTGGAGACCTCCTGCAGGACTGGACAGTGGGCTGGTTGGTCATGGGTGCAGAGACTGGAGGAGTGGAGAGCTAAGGGGATGCTTCTGCTGGATCTGTTGTTCAGTGCCTCTGTCTGCCTGTTTGTCTAGGGATCTACAGATAACACCCCTCCTTTGTTAGGTAAACAGCCCATAGGATGATGAATCACCCTTTGAAAGCTGCTGGCCAGGTGTTTCTCTTCTTTCAGAAGCTCTTGGCACCTCTCTGGTCTCCTCCCTCAGACCTGGAACCCTGAAGGCCAGAGATTAAGCCAACCCTCTCAGAGTGAGGGTTCCTGCAGTGAAATCCCAAGTGCCCTCCTAGACCAGGACTCCCCAAGGTTGTGACCCATCTTTTCATTTGGGGCTGTTCATTTTGTGACCCTGTGTCTGTGGAGCCCTGTTACCCTTTCAAAACTTGCATGATATGTGGTGGGAGCTCGGGTAAGTCACTTTACAGTTCCAGTGCTTCAACTTTCCTGTCTGTAAAATGGGAATAAGATTATTCCTTGCCCAGTCTTCTGCTTGGTGCTGTTTGGGGGAGGAGGTGGCATGATAGAGCATTATATGCTGTGAAGTGCCATGCAGGGTGGGTGATGCCTGCTGAATCCTCCTAGCAGCTCTGTGGGGAAAGTGGGCATAGATGGCTCCTCTGTGCTCAAAATCCCATCCTGTGTAAGTGGCAAAGCCAAACCTTGAGACCCTGTGCTACCTTGGAAGACTCCACAGAGCACTTCCACTTGGGACAACTGAGGCACACAGTAGGCGCAGACCTGCCCAGTGTCATAATTAGAAATCAGTGCCAGGGCTCCTAATTCCTGGGCTGAAGCTCTTTAAAATCTGAGTCCTCTTTCTCCTGGGATCTCAGCCTGTTGTACTGTTTATTATTCAATAATGAATGTTATGCTCCCTTGGTCATGGGGGTAATCACAGGGGCATGGGACCCTGCCTCTGACTTGGCATGCACCCCAAAGTCGACCCTCCCTGTACCCAGGTCTCTGCCTGGCAGAGAAGAAGGACAGGGGAACAGACAGCTGAGAACCCGTTTTGGGGAGAGGAAGGTGAGGAGGTGATGAAAGACAGGACTACGTGTGAGCTGACTGTCCAGGTCCCCAGTGCATGCTCCATTGTTCCATTGGACTTCATTTACAAAACACAATTAAAAAATAAAATTATTAAGAATTTCAAGACGGCAACCAGAGAACATTAAATCCCTATTTTGGGGCACCCTTCCAAGTGGGGGGCTCTGTGCAACTGCACTGGCCACACATCTCTGAAGCTGGCCATGCTAATACCTAGCTCAGAGTAGCTGTGAAGAAGGAACATGCCTGACTCATAGTAAGTGCTCAATAAATGTCAGCTGTTCTGTTAGTGTGATTAATTATTAAATGTGATTTATTGCAGATTTATTAAATGTGATTTTGATGATATATCTTTATTAGAAAATGCTGCTTCATCTACTCTAAAACCTGTCTTTGCCATCATCTCTCTTGTTTTGCCATGGTTGAAGAGGGGCGAAGGAACAGAAACAAACATTTAAATATATTTAGGTATCAGGCATTTTGGTGTTAATCCTCACTGCAAGAAGCTAATCTTCACTAGGGAAGCGTTTTACCCCTGCTCTAACTGAGAAGGAAATTGATGCTCAGAGATTGCAAGAGGCTTGCCCAGGGACACACAGGATGGCAGTGGCAGATGCTGGGCCTTGAATCGGGACCTGTCTGCCTTCGAAGCGTGAGTTCTGTGCCCAGGGCCCTGGGCATGCTGACGGAGACTGCGGTCTGGGGCCTTTGTTGGCAGCTGGGGCATCTCCCTTCCCCTGGGATGGCCTGGTCTGCTTCCCCCGGCCTTTCCCCATCCTTTCCATGGCTGTGCTGGCAGCTGCATCCTGTACCCTGATGACAGGACTAGGGACAATGGGAAGGGGGAGGATTGGGTGGTAGGAAGGGGCCCAGCTCCAAGCTAAACAATGGTTTCTCTCCAGGGGTCCCAGGCAGCCGGAAGGAGCCAAGGGCTCCCAGCATTACTGCGGGCAGGGTGCGGGCTGGGCCTGGCTTTCTCCTTCTGTTCCAGGCTCAGCCTCCTGAGTCGCTGCAAGCTTTGGTGCCTCAGCTGTGTCTCCCCATCTATAACTGTGCTTTAGCACTCAGAACAGGGCCCAGTGCTGGGGGTGGGTGGGGTGGAGCTCGGGAAATGTTTGCTGAATTATAGGGACAGTAGAGGAAACTCCGAAGAGTTTCTAAACATTGTTCTTCATCGTGGTGACCTGATCCACCCACCCATCTATCTAGCCATCCACCCACCCAACACACTCCAGGGAGCCCCCACCTGCATCGAGGCCTCCAGCCCACCTTTCCCCGCTCCTGCCCTCTTCCCCTGGGGCTTGAGCTGGAGACAGGGCTGCAACTGCCCATGGATGGAGCTCTGGGGCCAGCACATCTGGGTTCGAGTCTCAGCCTCTCTACCCACTAGCTGTGTGACCTTAAACAAGTTCCTTTCCCTCTCTGAGACTGCTTTCTCACCTGTAAATTGAAACTAATAATGCTCACCTCCTGGTGATGCCTGTGGTAAGGATTACATTTAAATGGCAGGCTTTAGAGGTTAAAGCCCTCTAATTGATAAGTGCACTGGGTAGACAGGTTGGCCAGGAAACACCTCTGAGGAATCTCATTTGAACCAGGGAACTTAAACAGCACAGTCTGGGAGAGAAGGTTGATGGAATTGTGAAGGGAAGGCTCTTCTAACTGCAAAAGAGGTTGTGTGTGTGTGTGTGTGTGTGTGTGTGTGTCTGCTTCTGCTTCCTCCATCAAGGCTGGGTGTTGGTGGGAGATGCTGAGTCAGCAAGGCCACTTGGGGG